GATTGAAGTTTCTGATTGATTGCTGTTACCGACGGTAACCACATATGTTATGTAGGCTACCCAAATAATGCAACCTCCTACTCTAATTTTGAAATTATAAATGAATGTAGGATTGTTTTAAATGTTTGAATAATTTAGTTTATTCGAAAGTTTTAAAGTTGCACTAAATGTTCTAGAAGGACTTTTAAAAGTTTTGATCTGTTTGCATTTTTGTTACAAATATTTTGAAATGAAAAATGAATTTCAATGTCTGATATGGAAATTGCTTATTGAGTATTTTTGTACTCATTTTTGTTTTCTAAATGTTTTCAGATGAAGGTTCGAGTGACTGCTCAAATAGTGATTGAGGAATAGCGTTCTGGTACGAGGAGTTGGAAATCTTTAGTCTTTTTCAACTTTTTTAAATTACGAGAACTTAGTATGGTTCCTCTGGTTGTTCTTTGATTTGGTTTTAGTATAGGTTTTCATCTAAATTACGAGAACTTAGTTAGTTCTACTAGTTATTCTTTGGCTTTATTATAGTATAGGTTTTTGTTTAAAAATTGGACTTTTCCTTATTTTTTGTCATACTATCAAATTAAATAAAGAAGTTTTTACTTTTATATAGTGTTTATTTGTTTACGCTTCCACATTATTGTTAGAATGACCGTATTAGAAAATAGAGGTTGTTACACTATCAAACAGCCAAATATCACTCTATTCAATAATCACCCAGAGTACATGATTTACTCAACAATACACATTCAGAGAGAGAGATTCACAAAAGTTAACAAGAATACACAATAATCAGGGGTAGACACTGTACTGTAATTCATAAACAGCAAGCGATACACGTTCACTGTCAACTAGGAGATGGCCATGGGTTAACAATGAAACGTAATTTATAGACGGCTAGCGGTAAACACTTACTGTCAACTGTGAGATGGTCAAAAGTTCGAACTTAAGGCCTCTAAGTCGATATGACCAAGAGATCTCAAGTCCTCGCCAACCGAGCTATCCATTGGGAGCTAAGTGTGTAGGTGTAATTGCAACAACTATTATAGTTTAGTGGTGTGGTTCGTGCAACTTACCCTACTTTAATTCTTTTACGGTTAATATTTACCTCTCTAACCAGATAAATATGACTTTTAATAGTTATAATACTCTTATAAATAGGAGTMTGCTTAGGTTGTTTTGATTCATTATCATAATAGGATTGTTTTCTTCTTTAACTTTAAGTGTGTTTATTATCATTAAAATATAATTAATGAAAACAAATTAATCAGCCTGGGATTGCCGTACCGGTGGATTATACGGTTGCTCGTTTATTGTGGATTTCATGGTTGTTGGTCATTAACTAACTGATTGTTACTGGCCGTAAAATAACACGTCTCGTTTGACTGTAGAATTTTGTTCACTCGTCCTTTAGTCAGCAAAGTTGTTCTCTAAGAACCAAAGGTATGTAGTTGAAATTTGACTAAGTTCGAAATTTCTTAGATTTCTGGGTGTGGTTTCATTTTTCTGGTGAAACCTTTAAATTTGATTGAGGCTCAAAATTTGATTGCAATAAAGAGCAATTACTGGCAATTCAATGTCATGTTTGATAATCCACGTCAATCTACTACGAACGAAATTAATTTAAGTACTCGACCCAACCAATTTACATTCTAATAATTTTTTGTGTATCTTTGGTATAAACATGTACTTTATCTTAATATTTTCTTGGATAGTAACTATAACTGGTCTCTTTGGATGATGTATTCTAGAGTTTATGATCCTAGGACAAGTTTTTCTCATCTATTTGATTTAGTATTGCACTAAAAAAAGTTAGAATTACAAATGTCATTTTTTCTTTTATGGTAGGGTATGAACTATTAAATTGATTGAGATTAACTCTCTGCCGCAGATCCTCCATGTTTAACAAACTTTCTAGAAATTCTTACTATCGTGAGGCTATATCTCTACAATCTCAACATGTTCCATAGTTCTACAATGCTCGATGATCACTACTACTCTAATGAAGGTTATTTTAGTAAAATAAACTAATACAGGGTCTTGGTATATTATCAATTCTCTTGCTGTTAATGAATAAATTAAGCTTTTGGCATCTTAAATTTAGACTTCCTAATTTTTCTCATCTTAAAATATTTGTTTCCAAATTTATTTTAGGGGATTTTTTTTTTTTTTTAAGAAAAATTTATTTAAGAGGATTTAGTGCACATCTTGATCATGAAAGTTTTAATTTAATAAACAACGTATTTACCAAAACCTTGCAAAGCTTTCAACCTTTTTATTTAATTCAGGGTGATGTTCGGAGGGATTTTTTTAAATTTATTTTTAAAATAATGCTGCATTAATTAAAATTAAACAAAAAATGGATATTTTCAAACTTATTCTAGAAATAATGCTAGAAAAATCAAAGTGGGGCTTGGTGAAGAGACGATCAAATCAAATTTTGTACGTGGTCGTCTCTTGACCACGATACGTAGCGTCACCGAGGCGCCACGTCTACTTTTTTGTTTTTTTTTAAATCAAAAGATGGTCAGAGATGACCATCTTTAGCGTGAAATATGGTCGTCTCTTCAGGGGACGACCACTGTGCATGATAGACACGTGTGGTCGCGTTTCGAAGAGACGCCCAAGTGGGGTTTTAACCTACCCCACTTGCCCCACTTCGTTTTGTTTTCTTTTCCTCCAACAACCCCCGCCGCTGCCGCTCCTCATCTCCGGTAGGTTTGGTTTTCTCTTTTTTTGTTTTTTAATTAATTAATTTATTTAATAATGTAACTAAAAACATCCCTCTGCTTTTTTCGTAGATTCTTCCAAGGGGTAAAAACAAAGAGGCTAAATTTTCCTTAGTGCAGGTCCTAGATAACTTAGGCACAAGGATGAGTTAACTAGGACAATTTATAAAGAAAAGTGGAAACTAAGATGAGTTCCTATATACATAAAACTAGTTAACGTGAAATTGACATTGAAGAGTAGAGTAAGTTAGGTAAGTCTCATCACAGATGTCAATACGAACACAGTTTAACGGTAATTGACATATATAAGGAAAAAAAAATTATCATAGACGATTTCTCATATACACCTATAAGAAAAGATTCAACACAGGACTATTTCATATTAATCAAATATGTGTAATAATAAATTATGTAATGCAACAAACAAAGAGAGAGCATATATATATATATAACCAAATCACAGCAAAGAGAGAGCATATATATATATAACCAAATCACAGTAAATCCAACTAAATGAGCATAACTTTAAATTTTTAGGATTCAAACTTAATTTTAAAATAAGGTATTTTTAATTGGTAGCAAAAATATTTGCCATATTTGTAAATATAGCAACAACGAACTTTTTAATTTTTCAAATATGACAAAAATTTTAAAATCTAATTTTCACTTTTTATTGCAATTTTTTCCTCAGTATTTTTGAAAATTAATAACTTAATACGAAGTATATCAGCACATTAAATATATAAATGATATATTTTATATTAAATATATCACTGATAAATTATCTTTTCCAGTTGAAAATTTTGATTCAAATAACATTGAATGATATACCGAATACTATCTATAACTGATAACCTAATATGCATTATATCAATCACACTAAATATTTGAATGATATCCTTTATATTAGGTATATCATTGACAAATTTTCTTCAACCAATATGAAGTTCGTGTAGTGTACGTGAAATTTTATAGTTTTATTTTAAAGTATAAAAACATAAAATTACTTAAATAGTTAAAATTTTTAATATAGTTGGACTTTTTTATCTCGCAATATTTATCTCACTTAGTTTTTTTTTTCCATGTTTATCTTATAAAATCAATTTCTCAATAATTCTCATCACCCACTGATCCGGTTGGCGGACTAAAAAAATTGAGAAGTGTCCATTACTTGAAAATTTCCTATAAGTAAAATACAACAAGCAATAATAAACAACTTAACACATATTCTTCGATTACTTGAATTTTTTTCCCTAAAAAAACACTTATTCATGGATTTTGCATCCTTTTTTGTTCCAAAACATAACGATGCTTAAAAAGAAATAAAATTTTGTTTTAATTTCTTAGTTGAGTCATTGAAAAAGACAATAACACCGCAGAGAACAAAATGCAAGATGTCAAATTTGTAAGCGTTTTAAATAAATTATTTATATGTGGTACGTAATCAAATCTTTTCTGAAATTACTATTATTAACATTGCATTGAAAGAAAAACTAAAAGCTAAACATGATCCACTTGAGCAAGAAAAAAATTGGGAGAAAGAGTAAGAAAAAACTTTTATATAGTTGTAGAAAATAAATAGTTACAAAACTTCTGAAATTCTTTATTAATTATAATTAAAAATAAGTTATAATTTTTTAAATTAATTCATAGAAACAAAGAGACACAACTATACCTATTCTAGCTCTTAACATTCCACCATTTGACATGATTAAACAATAAAAATAAAGTTGAATTAAGAGAAAAGGGAGGATGTAGCATGAGAGATGAGAGTATGAGAGAGAAGATTTTATATTCAAAACACAAAATTATCCCATAATAACTATGAAATTGTTTAAATTAAAAGGATAAAATAAACAGAAAAAGTTTCTCCATGTAGCCCATTTTATATAATAAAGATTTATCAAGTATATCTATTATATACATCCTTTTAGACACGTCGTTGATTTAACTGACATACGAAAGTATATCAATTTAATATTAGGTTTATCAATGCGAAAGTTCTCATTTTTTAAAAAATACAATGAGCCGTATTTTTCTTTTTCCATATTTATAGTTAAAAAATGTATTTGCGACATTTAGCATAAACTATTAATTTTCCTTCCTATCACAACTGCTTTGATCAAAGATCGAAGATATATGTCAATTATAACTGAGTTTAATCCCCTCTCACTCAATATACCGGAGAAAAAATAAAAAAGTAAAAAAGAGAGAGAGGAAAATTTTAGGACCAAAGTCATCAAACCATATATTTATATTTATCGTTAAAATGCAAGGAAAAATAATACAAATTATCAAAAGGGAGTAGCTAAGCCGAAGTCCGGCGTCAATGGCCTCTCCCGCCATTAACGCTTACTCCATAGCTCCGAAACATCTCTGGCCGCCATTATCTTATCCTTTCCCAACCTTCATATGTCCTCATTGTTCAACGCCTCCGATTCAAACCTCGAGGTTTTGCCGCCTTAAACCTCTCACCATCTGCTCTCCATATCCAGTCCGATTCCGACCTTCATTCCACTCTCCGAGGTCCATTTTCTCTGAGAAGTCCCAACTCTCCGACGTCGATGAAGACGAGGACGAGGACGAGGATGAAGATGACGACGACGATGTGGCGGCCGAGGAGTACGACAGCGATGCATTGGGTGGATTCGAGCAGAGCTACGATGAAGTGGATTTGTCGATTGAAACTACAGAAATCTCCACTCCGCCCGAGGATTTCAAATGGCAGCGAGTCGAAAAGCTTCTCAGTGAAGTTAGAGAGTTTGGTGAAGAAATTGTCGATGTAGATGAACTCGCTTCGATTTATAATTTCCGTATCGACAAATTTCAGGTAAATCCTACATATATTTGCAATTCGAAAAGTGCCACGGCATATTGATTGGCAAAAATTCCATCGTTGAAAGTTTATCCTCTTTGGTTAGCGGTTGGCCGTACAAGCATTCTTGAGAGGATCGTCGGTGGTGGTATCAGCGCCTACTAGCAGTGGCAAGACTTTGATTGCGGAGGCTGCAGCTGTTGCCACCGTCGCGAGGAAACGACGATTGTTTTACACGACTCCATTGAAAGCATTGTCGAATCAGAAGTTTCGCGAATTTCGGTGAGAATATTATATCATCATCCTTTCTCACTGATTGCCATTGTTACATCGATTAGCTTTTGTTAATTCACTATCCTTCTATTGTTTCAGTGAGACGTTTGGAGAAAACAACGTTGGGCTTCTTACAGGAGATTCTGCAGTTAATAAAGATGCCCAGATTTTAATCATGACAACAGAAATTTTGCGCAACATGTTGTATCAGAGGTAACGTATCAATATGAAAAGTTAGGATTCCAAGTTATTCATGAACTTGTCAATGAGCTAATTAGGCAAAAGACTCATGGAGTTCCAGTTTTTAAGGGTTTGTTTTGGTAACGTTTTTGTTTTTTGATTCCGTTCCTTAATTTTTAAAATGAATTGCATGGCCCCAACATCTATGAATTCAAGTATGATAAAACAATATTTTAATTTATGTTTTTGAACAAATTGGAAATGAGAATGAGAAAGAAGAAATTTGTTTTGGTTGTTTCCAAAATTTCTATACAATTTTGAGAATGTTCCCCAGAAAAAATGAGGAAAAAAAAATAGTTAGTTACAAAATGCTTAAATTTCTTAAGAAAATTGGAAACGAGAAAGAATAAATGGGAACGTTACCAAACGAGCTCTAAGTAGTTCATCTCATCTACGATTTCTTTCCATTCTTCGTTTTCTTCTAAAATCGCATGGGATACATTTTACAGTAAACCTTTTTTTAGGTTAAATAGTAGACCAGCTTACACAAAAAAAAAGGGTGAAAGAAGCAAGCAGCCCACAACAGAAAAACCAAAGCAGTTGCAGGAAGTGACTCCAATTAAAAACAACATAAAATTACAGAACAATTTTGTAGAGTGTTTCCAAGGAGGTGAGCCATCTACCAGAGAAGGTGTCCTCTATTACAAAAGGAGGGATGAACAAGCACCTCTTGATTATGTCCCAATAGCTTCTACTAGGAGCCAAACTGACGCCAAAAGTCTAAAAAAATATTCCTAAAAATTTCACGGGAAATTGGTATCTTCATAAACAAGTCTTCCAAGATAGTGACACCCATAGTTGCTTACATTAATCTTCTAACACAAAAGTGTTAGACTCTAAAGGAAAGTGCTCAAACTACTTAGCCAAGAGGGATAAGCATTTATCGACAGATTCCCCATACAAGACCGCTTCCTCATCACATGACTAGGAAGTGACCTCTCACCTAAATAGATGAGACCTTCCATGCTTTTCAACTCCCTCGTACAGAATTTCCATCTTGATCCTTTCYTTCATAGAACACACTAGCAACAGAATGCTATAATGGAAAGAAAATGGACAGGGATCCCAGGTTGATTGGATTAACGTGAACTTCCAACCCTTGGAGAAAAAGTCTATCTTCTAGGCGGATCAGCTTTTGAACTTTTGAAACTATAGAGTCCCAAAAGGAGCTAGCTCTAAGGTTATATATTTCAAAGGAATCCTGAACTACGTCATGGGAAATAAATAAACTCCACAACCCATCAAATGAGCCCATCGCTCAATTTTTCTTGAATTGCATTTAAAGCCAACCACGTAACATTTGTCAATCAACTCTAATGGCATAAATGATTCTAAAAACGTGTTAGATCCTATTAAGGTTCACAGATGAGTCTTCCTTCCCAGAATAGAAGAAAGTGGCCTCTTCTACAGATTGCAAGTATGAAGACCAATTTTTTCCCTGCTCATAAAGAACTCTTCTACTAAATCCTTACTCGCGTCTTCAGAAATAAGTCTACTAAGAACATCTTCTATCACCATAGAAAGGAAAGGAGACCAAGGATTTTTTTGCTTGATCCCTTTAGCAACAATCTTGCCTGTAGGCTTATCATTTACCAAGATGGAGAATTTATTGTTGACACAATTACAAATTCATGCTTTCTTTTTAAAGTCGAAGCCTTTTTCTGCAAAATTTTATATAAGAAGTTCTGATCTGCATTGTCATAAGCCCTTTTAAAGTCAAATTTAAAAATGACTACTATGCCTATAATCCTCAATCATCTAGTTGACTATAGGCACCTCATCTAAGATCTTTCCTTCAGTGAAAAGCGGACTCTGATTAACAGAGATGGTGTTGGATAACACTTTTCTCAACCTTTCTGTTATCTCTTAGCAATGATCTTAGATAAGCTTGTTACCAAACTAATAGGTTGGAAGTTATTCACTTTACTTGTTTTTTGCTTTGTTTTGCTTTTGGGAAATCAAGCTGGTACAAGTCTCCCTCATATAATCCCACTACCTTTTTAGTCCACTACGGGACTGAAGGTTTCAAAAGGAAGGGAGTTGAACAAATGGATGGCAGCAGACTGAAGTTGGGAAGCTTCTTTTGCAAAACTTCATTAGTGTTAACTTTTCCATAAATTAATATCCAAATGAGAAAGCTGACCTTTTTAGGACTTTTGGATTTCTAGATAGCTTTAAATAAGGCCTTTGGCATTGAAGAAGCACTACATAGTTTACTAATTGATGCAACAGAAAACATACCCGAAGGTCCAAGTGACCAAAGCCTCCCATCCAATTCATTGGAAGGAGAATGAGAATGCAGAAGATATAAAAGTGCACTGAACTCCTCTATTTCATCATCTTTTAGAGCTCAGTCTTGTAGAAATTCTCCAAGATAGGGTCTGTGCATCCCAAAACTCAACTACTGATCCGGAAGGATTGGTGGAGATTTGATAGATCTTTGAGAATCTATCCTTTAAGGGCTGATTTTCAATCCATT